ATGCACCTCGCGTGAATCTAATGACGCGGTATGAACGAAAATAAGAAACTATAGATGAGTTTCTTATCGCGAAACCGAAATTAAATTATACGGCGAACAACACTGAATCTAACTCGCGTTTGATTTTAATTTGTTTTACGCCTGTTCACTGACTTTAAAACTAATTCAAAGACTGCTTTGCACACAGTCTATTGAAACAAACAAATTTCACACTTTATTTTAATCCCGAAACGCGTTGAATTTAAAATCTTCATTGATGCACTGACTCTAATACGCGAACAGTCTGTGCAACTGTTTAAAGATAAAAATACAACTTTACTCGAACAAACTCTAATGCAATTACTGCATTGGTCGCAGTTAATTTAATATATAAATTTCAAAAATAGTTCGCGAACGCGACGGAATTGAAATTAACGAACGAACCTGATTCTAATCCGTGATTTTAATTATATTTAAACGATCAAACACTCCCGTATATTGCCTCGCGCACGATTGCAATGCACGAACATTTGCAACACTGCAATATTCCCATGATAATCTAAAACAGAAATAAAAACAAAATTATGAATATCATTGTTGTTAAGAAAAAATTATTATAATTATTAAGAAAGTGATTAAAATAAAAATTGACTTACGTTTATTCTTCAGTGATGAATGCACGATGGGTGTCCTACCCTTGGGATGACGATAAGCACACGTTTTTAATGAATAAAAGAAACTTACGGAGTTTCTTTACCCGAGCAAACGAAACTTTTATAACATGCGACGATCAACACTGATTCTACTTTCCGACTTTTTGATAYTTTATTTWAWCGATGCAACACACGAGTACTTCATTGCCTACGCGCTCGATTGCAATGATGTTCTRAAACAGAAAAAGAAAAAGAACAATTAATGTCATCGTCCTAATAAAAAACCATTAAAGTTGTTATAGAAATGTTTGATAGAAAAATATGCTTACTTTTAGTCTTCATTGATGACTGCAGGATGGGTTTCCTACCCTTAGGATGACGACGAATAAAATAAAATGAAATAAAAAAATCTGTCAAGCTGAAACATACTAAAGATTATATTAGAATACAATATTCCCTATAAATCATTCCTGAAGGCATTTCACACACATTAAAAAATGTTCTATCATAAAAAATCAATATAAATTCAAGCAATATTAATTTCTTTTAATCTCACTACTTGTATAAAATTACATACGAAGTATGTAATGTTTGTAAAAATATTAATTGAAAATTTTTAAAGTTATAATATATAACTGAATAAAGAGTAACCTAAAAAATACAACTTTTTTATACTATTCTATCTAATGAAAAACTTATATTAAAGTATTTAACGTTAGAATGTAAAAGAATTTTACGTTAGATAACGTTAGAAATAAAATCAATAATTAGTTTAATACATCACGTTCGCTAGATCTTAACTCGTTGAAGGACGGAGGGGGAATGGAGATCTCTCTGTGTATATCTCATAGAAGTATCTAATGCTCGATGCTCGGTACTCGGTTGTTTACGTTTTGCATCGGCTGTCTTTCTTCCGCTTTCACCTCGAGAAATACCTACTAATATACATACACATTCATAATTGCCTGTAGGTGAATTTTTTGTTTACTTATTCTCTCTCCCTCTCACACTCTCGTTCTCACTCTTTCTATATATTCCTATATAGCTTAAAAAAAGGATAACGCTTACCTCGATGAATATGAAGATAAAAAAGAGTAAAAACAATTGTTCGACTGAGTATATGTATTTGTTCTGGACTCTCCAATGCTCGGAAATCTAAGAGAAGTAAAAAATAAAATTACATTAGTATAATATAAAGAAAATCAAATACATGAGTGTATGTGTACGAGCTACCTATACTTATATATATATATATATATACCTGTATATTATGATAAAAGTCGAATTTAATAATTTTTCTAGAAAAAGAAATCGAATGTAAATTAAAATATCATAAGAGATATCTTAGACTTACTAACGCGTCCGCTAGAATGCGCTACGTTTAAATTTCCAAAAAAATATTCTTATTATCTTTTGTAGTAATGTCTTATCTGATGTAGGTAAAATTTGTTTAGACATTTAAAATAAAAAAAGAATCTATTTTAATTAATAATAATAAATTGATTAAAAAAAGCAAAATGTAATGTTAAAAGTTTCTTCAAATAAGTATCATACAACATTACGTCGTTTCCTACCTTACCTACAAATGCTGCCTGATGTAATCTGTCGCATTAAGTAGTAATAGCAGAAAAATGTAATGCGCATCTTTTTCAAGTAGGAGTGTATCATGTATTTAAATCGCCTTGTTAAAAAATAACAAACATTTAAATAATCTTATTGTTTTATTTTAATTGTCAAACATATCATGATGATAACTAAGGAGTCAAATATTTAAGAAAAAATAAAAAAGGAACTATGAAAAATATATATTTTAATAAAACATTAACATGTCTAGAATCCAAGTAATGGTTTCCTAAAATATCCGTCCTTGCGTGAGGAGAGTTCTTAACAAAATCGATCTATCGCAAAATTCGAGAAGACCAATCACACGCTTGCTCATAACTACGACGTCATCTATATGACGGGTTTAGTGCCACGTTGGCAGTCCGGGCGACGCCTTCATTTTGTGTTCATCTTGTTTCCTCGATTCAGTTGTAAAAATTGAAAAGATAAAAAAAAGAGAGAGAGAAAAATGTGTGCTTAAAAATTATGATTTTCATAGAGAGAGAGAAACGAAATTAATATTATATTGAAATAAAAATAATTTGAAATTATATCTTGTGGATAAAGAAAAAAAAGAGCATTGAAAATGATAAACGAGAGAACAAAGTGTTTTGGGACTGTATGAGAAAATACAGAAAAAATTGAATCAGAAAAACGAAGGAGAGAAAGAGAGAGAAAAGAACAGATAGCGGTATAGAAAGAAAAAGAAGGATAGAACTATTCGAAAGTAGCCCCTACCACTTTGTCTCTATCGCTTTCTCTCTCTCTCTTTTTCACAACGCGACGAGGGGTATATAAAGATATCTCTTTCCAACTCCCTCTACCTTTAATTCGCACACACTGTAAAATCCAATTGTGAACAAGCAAGGAGTATCCGTCCCCTCTACTACTACGCTTTTACCGGAGCTCGGTAGTCTACTTTCGTATTTGATAGTGTTCGTTCGTATTATACACGAGCTTCGTGACATAGGTCGAAAAACACGCCGGATTTTTACTTCATCGGAGTATCAACCGGCCGGATATTATTTAGTCTTTCTTTCATGGAAGAAATTTAACGTTATAAAAATTTTTTCCTTTTTTTTTTTTTTCTTTCCTCCCCCTCTTTCGCATTAAAACGCGTATTGCGCGTATGCGTGTGTGTTTGTGTATACGCACGCGTGTCGTGCGTGAAAAATAATCTTCTGGAAAACGGGAATAAAAAGAAGACAGATATATTTCGATTATATCGAAAAAGGAAAAAAAAAAAATAAATAAAGTGCAGTTATGTCGTCACCCTCAGTCTCGGATATGAACTTTATGGATTTCTTTTTTTCTCCCGAAGATCCGAACTTCCTTAAAGATGTTAAGGATGAACCTTTCGTCGATCAAAATTACAACGACGACGCCATCACGGTAAGTTTTAGACGTACGCTCATATAGCCGGCTTTATCGATGATGACACGAATAACTTCGTCGTAAATAAAAATATGTCTGAAGGTACGAAACTATTACGGAAAGCATACTCGTATTTCCCTCGTTAAATTTTACCGATCGTTCCCATCAATTCCCCTTCGAAGAAGAAACCAGTTTTAGTGACCCTAATTTTTTTTTCTCCTATCTGATGAAATATATAGATAATTCGTTGACTTCTTATCTCAAGTGACAAGACAATCTAAAATATTGAACTAGATTTATTAATCTATAAAATTCTAGATAAGTATTTGTTACTTAACAAAATTTTTTTTTTTCGTCTAACGTCAAAATGATTTAATTGTCAGTTATTATATGACATTTCTTTTTATGTTCCAAAATCTTATTCTTACCTTTGATCGATCGACATACTGGATAGCAAAGTTTGCTTGGTACGGGTATCGATATGACACATATAATTAAATATATTAATTGAATTAAAAATTTGTATGCAACCGAGTTGGGAGTCCTTGGAATACAATTTAAAATATATTTATTCTTATTATTTTCTATGGGAGTAGAATAAAATAAGATTTTTATAGTCAGGTTTCCAGTTATTTCATCAGAAATAACAGCTTATAACAGCTTATATTTTTTCACCGTAGCTCGTGCCACTTTTTATTTGAATATATTATTTTTGTTATTAACATGTTTAAGTATAATATACGGGCTTAATTGAAATCGTAAAATGAATTTTCGAAATTGTACATGTAAACATATGTTATCACGGAGAACTGTGACATATCCAAAAATTAAAAAAATCATAGCATGCCGAACGAAGAAAATCATTTAAAATTACATCATAAGTCCAAACCTAGCGGGAAATTCCTCGTTATTTGTTCTTCCCCTGTCGAATCATGTTAACATATGGTGCATGTGCACCCACGTGCACGCTAACATTCTTCGCGGATCATTCACTTGCTCACGGGATTGAACGGAACCGAGTCATGATCCAAGTGATTATAGTTTAATATAGACATACTGACAATATTAATACAGAATGAACAATAATTTCGTTTGTAAAAAATCTATTCTAAAATATATTCATCTACAATAGAATTTTATTTAATTTCTCTGATATTTTTATCTTTGTTTTTTTCTTTTTTTTGCTTAAATATCCACATACTTAACAACAACGATCTCTCTTTTAAATGTATAATTCATTTTATTTAAATTTTTATCCTTTTATATATTGGATGGAACGCGCACGCGAAAATACAAACATAATAAAAGATAATTAAGAAGATAGCAACAATCCAATGATATTTTCTAGGAGAATTATCGTCAAAATTATGTAACTGTTATGAATTTTACACGGCCATATGGAATGGCCTCGTACACGTGCCGGTATCCAATACATTGTCATAATTAATTTATCTTCGAATCTTTAAAAAAAAATCTTTATCTATTCTTGCATTAGATACGCATTGTTCTTTAAAATACAATGTTATTAATTGTTGAATAAATTAACGCTTTCTCCTATTATCTTTTTTTTTTTTTTTCAAAAATATGCATTCTAATTTAATTCAATGTTTAGAAAGATGAACCACCTTTCTATACTACGTTGCATCGTCTAATATCGCTTTCTAATTATATTTATTGTTTTATATAAGGAATAAAAAAACAAAAGTCAGTTTTCGGTTTGAAAATGACTTCAAACTCTGCGCTACGGCAAATGACCTTCGAATGTTGAATACCGTTAAGTTACGGGACTTTTTGTGCTGGTATAAATATTCTCTTATGACCTCACCGAAAGAATCCAATTAAGGATTAACGCACTTTAATCACTTCAGTTGAAGTTCATTCGATACACTACTTAGACTTAAAGATTAGATCCTAATGTACTTAAAATTAGTTCTAAATCGTTTATAAATCATTATTTATATTACTACATTTATTATAAAGTTATCGAATAACTGATTAGAATTACTTTGCATAACTAGTTTTCTAATAACGATAGGATTCACAGTATTGATATTTTTTTACAAGAATACACATACGTAAAACGTAATGCGTTTATTTCCGTGAAAAAAAGATGTCTCGTCAAGATTTCAATTAAAATGAATTAATAATGACGTAAGTAAAAAATAGTAGAAAAAGATATAAGAAGAGGGAGAGAGATGTACAATTTACTCCAATCTGGGACGAGTTTCTTGCCAATGGCGAGAAACATGCTTTCTCGAATTGAAGTTATGCCAACCGGTGATAAAAATAAAACGTCGTATTATGTGAAAACAAAAGACCTGTAACTTATTAATATGAACATATATATTATTAGAAACAAATAAGTCGCTGCAAGAGAATTTATATTTTTTTCTTTTAAAGAGATGATAAGCTTATTGTTAACTACAAGAACGTGACATCAGCGGTTTAACCGAACATCTTACAAAAAAATAGAATAAATTTTCCTACAAAAAAGAAATATTTGCATTTATTATTTTATCAATTTTTATCGAAATATTTTTTGAATTGACGAAAGGATTGTCAGATTACGAAATGATGAATTTTAAGAAGACTTTGAGCTTGCAAGACAACTTATATCTCTCGTTTCGTTATTGACGCGTACAAATTTTTTGCTCTATATGTAACTAAAATTTCGAAGTAAACGTATATAGTTAATGTTAGTTTCAAAGTCGAAACCACACTCTATAATTTGGATTTATTTTTAGATCTTTTCTTAATTTACGAATAACGTGTATTTTATTAAAAAAAAAAAAAGTGACTAAACAATGCGAGGAAAAAAAAGAAAAAGAATATTAATTCTTAATGTGAATATATAAAATTTGATTATAATAACGTATTACAAACCGAGTAAAATTTTCAAAGTATTTTAAAGCTTTTAGCACAAAATATCGATCGTATGTACACACATACGTTAAATGGCACGAGTAACATTCGAAAGATAATTCTACCGATGCTCGACGTAGCTTTAATGATGAATGGCCGACCATATATGCATACACAAAAGCGCTTGGCATCAAAGTAGGTCGTACAATTTTTTCGCGAATAAATCCCCCGTTCAGCCGTTCTTTCACCGGGAAGAATGTAAATGTAAAATTGAACGTTTAATATCAACCATGATGAATATTTTTTTTTTCAAATGATTCTCACGCTAAAAGTATATTTATTTATTGCAATTATATTTATCATAATATGTATTCGTTTAATATGTAAACGCTTTCCTTTTTTTTTTTTTTTTAGACGGAAGAATGGCCAACGAATCCAGACGAGTTTTTGGAATCGATTTTCAAATTAGAAGACAGTCAGTTCAACCTAATCGAAAACAATTTAGATGTAACTCCATCTTCCTCGTCGGACAGTGGACTTTCCAGTGCTTTGAGCCTTTCTTGCGAGCAACAATTGAGTCCTGTATTACCAATCGAAGAAGATCAAATTGAAATTTCCAATTCAGACTCGTGCAGTCCCCAAAATTTTATGGATTTCGATTCACTGGGAAGTCCAAATCAGTCAATGGGTAGTATTGACAGTCCTATAAGATCAGTTGTTAGCTCGAATATCGGTTCACCAGTTACGGATGTTAACGAAGAAGTAGATTTCGAACCAACCCTTGTTGCTGTTGTCAATCCTAATAATACTGTTCCTGATTCTACTACTGTCATAACGACGGATCAACAACCAACAGTTAATATAGGTAAGAATATTCGTTATTTGTTACACGATCATGTGTTTCGATTAGATTTCAATTGCTACACTATTGAAAGAAAAAAAGAGAGAGAGAGAAAGAGAGTAATAAATTATATAAGGCAATCGTTAAGAATATTGTATAGAATTTATATTTTTGATTAAAGTTAAGAATCGTTGAAGTATCTTATCGCTCTAAAATACTTGAAAACTAGTACATCAAAATAGGAACATTCTTTTATTCATTTCTTTTAATTCCTACGTAAAATTATTTTACTACTTCCAGAGAAAAATAATTCAATCTTTGAAAGTATACGAAAATCTATATAATATTGTTCGAATATTACGTCTTTTCTATTATTTGGTCTTATTAGATGAACTGTTAACTTTACAAGGTTTCATAATGAATCATAGACTCTGTTAACAAACAAACTTCTTTTTGCTAAAAAACCAATTGTAAAGCGATTTATTCGCTATATATATACCATTGTGGATATCATTATAATTATTCGTGACGCAAATCGTGGAAGTTATATTCCGTCTTTGTTTTATTGAATTTTTTTTTTTAGCTCGTCTCGAATTTTTTATACGTTAATAGACAGTATGACGAAAAAAAAACTCTGACACGTTGACACATAGAAATTAATTATTCTGAATATTGTTCTCTTGTCTTTTTATTTTACCGAAAGAATAATATTTTTAAAGGTGTTACAACAAAAAAAAAAAGATTGTTGAAGAAATAAGAATACGATCGTTAGATTGCAAGAGATAAGAAATAAAGAGAGGAGAGATAAAAATTGATATTTTTCAGAAACGCTAATTAAACAACAGGAACGTGTGGCGTCTCAAGAGAAAACCGTTAAAGTTCGCAATCTCACATGTGTCGGAAAAAGAAATATAAGGCAACTAATTCGCGTGACGCCAATGGGTTCGGGTAACCCTAGGTCGATTTTATTACCCGTTAGCTTAAAGGACATGAAGGAAGTACGAACAATAAAGATTATAAACGCATCACAAGCAAGAAATTTGAAAGGTTTCAAAATTAATCAAGCGAATATCATTAATAAACCTGTTCAGGTATTAAACAATTAATTGTCATTTATATTGAATCTGATTAGTTATATGTTTTCACATTTTAAAACACTTGAAAATCAATTCTTTAGATGACTATCAAGCAAGAAGATTCCAGCAGCGAAAAGGGCTGCAATTCGAGTGATGAAATTTCTGAAACAGACTCACCTTATCCAAGATTAAAGTTAAATTCCGAAGAAAAACGTCTTTTACAAAAGGAAGGAATAACGTTACCGACTCATTATCCACTCACGAAACACGAGGAACGCGAATTAAAAAGGATCAGGCGTAAAATTCGCAACAAGATATCTGCTCAGGATTCGCGCAAAAGAAAAAAGGAATACGTGGATGGATTGGAGGATCGTGTGAAACAGTGCACGGAAGAAAATATGACCTTGCTCAAACGTATCAAAGCACTACAGTCTCAAAATCAGAGTCTAGCAGGTCAACTTAAAAGACTCCATACATTAATACAAAAAAGCAACAAGAGTGCTCAACCAGCGACTTGTTTGATGGTTTTACTACTTTCGTTGGCTCTCGTAGCTGTGCCGAATCTTCGACCACACTCCAATTCCAATAATGACATAGCTAAGGAGCAAGAACAACCTGAAAAAATGCCACCTCTTGCAGGTGAGTCATTGTATTTTTATATACTTTTACTAATTCCAGCAATTTCCTATAATATATATGATTTCTTAACATCCGAACTTTCTTTCTTTTACTTCATTCTTAAGCATGATTCATATTCTATGTTACTTATTGTTAGTGAATCAATATATATAAATTTTTAAACAACAAATTTTTCTATATATAATACTTTTCGCGATACTATTTTAATATCTCATCTTCAAAGATATTGCATAAATTAGATAGGGTAAATCTCTTTGAAATTGACCAGATATAAAGAAAAATATATAAAAATGATATTATTCAAATTGCAATTATGCTAACCTCATCTATTATAATCTTAATTCGTTGAATAATTGGTTTTACAAACAAATACCTATATTACAGTAAATCTTCGCTTTAAATTGTTGATAAATTTATTGCAATACATTAAATTCTCGTTCTATTGTCGATGTAGCCATACGTGGGTAGTTATTCTTGTTCTTAAATGCGGTCATGCTCCGGAGAAGTTCGAGCACGTTCTACACTGATTCTTTCGTCCAATCCTTGAACAACGATCTTAAGGTATATCAAACCTTTGCAAACCGTTATTTTACTGTTACACACGTACAAACTCATACACGTAAACGCGCAGGTTTCCAACTATTTAACAATGTCGTAACGGGTACTACTTGGTACGTTGAACTCCCATAAAATTGTGAAAGGTACTATTGCCCTAATGTTTTTTGTTTCTATTCACGTTCGAACTATCGTTGAACTCAATTATTTGTTTCGGCTATTGTCTTATCTATTCTTAGAAATGATTATAATAATCTCTTTGTACTTTAGCATCGGATCAATACAATTACTCGATTAATATGTATTTCGATTTCATTCAAAATTATGTTTACAAATATAGCAACTATAGAAATTTTGTTTTAAATTAAAATCTGATCATTTTAATACTCAATTAACCACAATTTACGATTTATATTAAATTGAAATATTTTGAATAGAACTCGTGTGTGTGTTGTCTTATATATTAATTTTTGTCTTATCAACGAATATTTTTTTAATGCAATAAATGATAAATTACTAACACGAGCATAAATCTATAGATTATGTTTGAAAAAAAATATTTTCAAAATGAAGCTACAAAATATTCAAATACATTATATGAATATCGATATATACTCCATATCTTGAAGAATGATTAGGTAACCCCTGATGATCCAACGACGCGTAAATGTGTACTTTGACTCTACACTGTATGTGTATACATATGTATGTATATATGTATGCATCATACTGCATGTTCTCTGATGATTGTTCAAACACTCTATAATAATTCACGTTGCTATCTATGAAAACAAATGTAACTAAAATTAATATTTAGCGTTATTTTATTTGATAAAAAAATTCATTAAATATACGAATTATTAACGATAAATCAAAATTCAACATTCCGGTTATTAACTATACCTTATCAACATTTTTATCATAATGATAATAATATTTTTTACCTTTATAGTACAATGAAATAAATTTCATTATATAAATATTAATTTATTATCTTAATTTTTTTAACTATCTATTCATTTCATTCTTATTTGTCATTTAAAAAAAATTTACTGGTCATTCTTATAAGAATCGATTCTTATAATTTCCTTCGTAACATCATGCGTAAATAACCATTTCTCGATAAATCGACGGCGCTTACGGCGTATTTTTGTTTGCAAGACGATAGCGTAAAACTTGCTAACTCAGAAGTTTAAATGCGTATAAATTTATAGGACAACTGTATAAAGGATCATTTTTTTATATTAGTATCTTGTTCTTTTCTTTTTTTATACACTCTTCTTCATATCTAAAAACTTTCAAACAAATACATTTCTTTTTAAATAATAATAATAATATACTATCGCTATATATATATATATATTTGTAAGATTAGATAAAGTTAATTAAACCACCTTCTCATTGCTACTGTCGAAACGTTGTCACAAGTGTAATAAATAGAATCAAACGATATCGGTCTAAGCGTTACTTCATATATTTATACAACACGTTTTGAGATATCATTTTGAAAAAAAAAAAAAAAGTACGCAATAAATTTTACCGATGGATTATCACGAGTTCATGGCAATTCTCGATAATCAAGGAATATTAATATTTCGAAATTGATATAAAATAAAGTGAATGGGGGAGAAAGAGGCCGATGAGAAAGAAATAGCGTAAAGGTTAAAAAGAAAGGAGCAAATAATAAAATAAGAAAAAGGAAAAGTATAGATGGAGAAAGATACATTGAATTTAAGAAGAGAGCGGTGAAACCGGAGCACACTACGAGATATCCGACGAGTTGATCTACAACTTTCTAAATGACGACAAGAAAGCACCGTTCGATCGTTGAATCGAAACTCTTTTCGGCGAGAGATCTCGAATATCAATAATTCAGAAATGATACGATTTAGATCGTATTATTATAATAAATCATCCTTGATTAATATTAATTTAATGAAATATTAAATAACATTTGATTAAACGGTCGATTGAATTTCTTGATCACTCGTATTTATTGGAAATATATTTCGGTCATGTGTCATCGCTATAATATTAATGAACACTTCTTGGAATTTCAAAGCAAGAACTTCTTTGGAACCACATACAACATACGTTATTGACTTTACAATCATTCTTCAATCGGATGATTATGAAATGCATTGTAAGGTGTTTATTCGTTTACTTATAAACAATCACCAACGTTATCAATTGTAAAGATGTTTATTTATGATAACGAACAAAAAAGGAGAAAACATTCATTTTTACTTATTATTTCAATTGTTCTTAAAAATTCCAATATTCTCTATCTTATTCCCCGGTTCCCTTGACTTACTTCTGTGACCTAAGCAAGCATTATAGGGCTTCGCTGTTACGTAAACCTTCTCCTACTTTACTTGTTCCTAGAAAACATAAAATACATATCGATTGACAAAAGTAATCTCGAAAAATGTAAAATAAAAATTTCTTTCTAATAGGATATTCATTTTTAGGTCGTTCGAGGGCACTCCTTTATACGAAACAAATAAAGGATGAAGAACTGCAACAATATAACGAGGAATTGTTGCAGGAGGTTGAAGGTCTTTTGGATCACGATTACAGTCCCGTGGTCCACATGCCACCTTACAAACGTCCTCGCATTGAGAACGAAGCGAACAATCAGAAGTTCGCAGCTTCATCGGATCAAATTGGTGGGATATTAGGTAGTCTGTTGGGTAACCACGAAATGCCGTTTATGAAACCGAGCAATCGAAAATATATAGAACCACCATTAGACGACGTTTGGCCACCACCGAATCCAGGTGGGAAAACGGAACCAAAAGTGGTCGACAAGCTTGAAGCTTTGACCAATGAACTCAAAATTAATATTTCGGATTTGGAAGGCACCAGAACCGTCCTCGTGAAAGTGCCTCATGAACAATGAGATTACCATCTTTCTTTCTTTTCCTTCATTTCTAAAAACAACAACAACAACAACAACTACTACTACTACTACTACTAAAGAATTACCGTTGTGAAATCAAACGATCATGAAAGAACGCGTTTCTCACCAGTTTCGCCGTGACTTTCGAGTTTCTCATCGTGAGGATTTCTAAACGTGAATTTAATGGCACGAAACATACATCAATATCTTGAACAGTAAAATTTAACGTTTAGTAACAAATTGAGATAATAATAGCCAATCGATAAATTAATTCATCTAAATAAAAATTTTTGTTTACTTTTAAGTAAATGTTTATAATATACAAAAAAATCGATAGTAGAATAATATTATAGCATCATCCTATCTATGATAGTTTTAATATTCATTTAGGAAATTAATAAGTATGTTAACTATCGGTAGGACTGTTAAAACAATATTGTGATTGTTTTGGGAAAGAAAATTAATCACATCAATTCTTATCATGTTAATGGGGGGTTAGGGGGGGAGGAAACTTTGGTATTGCCCATTTGTTGATAAAACTTAAATTTCACATCGTCAGTGATAAAATAAGTCTTATTAGACAATTATATTTAGAATAAATATCATTAGGAAGAGTTGTGAATTCTTATTCTCAAGAATAAAAGATACTATCGTTATATTATAAGTCGACGATTCGAGCAGTAAATTTTTGTTTAGTTAAAGGGTCGAACGGAATGATGATCAATGCTTAATAATAGCATACTATTCGTCTTATTACATTTATCGAATTGATAATTGGCAATCAATCATACAAATTGCAAAGACACAAATGAATTGAACACCAATAAATATCTTTCATGTTTACATATACTTAAGAATGACCATATAGATTATGTTATAAGTAAAGTACTCTTTTATATCTATAATACATTACATAATAAGCATTCATCAAAAAGAATCAATTAGCCTTCTCCATCGAATCATCGAATATTTAAAGTTCGTCTTAAAACGAACTATATCTGCTAATAATAACCTCTTTAGATAATGTATAGAGTTTATTCGTCGAATATTCTATGGATGGTATAAAGTTAATCGGACTATTGCAACGATTAATATTGTTATCATAAACCTTATTAAGATTTTTGTAAATATTTGCAATTGTAGATTATAAGAATGACAAAGATATACACATATATATATTAATATTATTATTAATATTAACATTATTATATTATACAGCTTTAAAAATTACTTTTTACAAAAATACAATGTGTAATTTAATGTACGTTATTATATATATGCAAAGAAAACTATTTACAACGGTGCATGGTAGAAAACATAGTGTGCAATCGTACACAAACAACGTATCGGCGCATAATCTTATAATATATATTTTATTTGTTGTAAGAACATTTAAAACAACAAGAAAGAAAGGTTGGAAGTAAAAATTGTTTTTCAAGGCTAAAAAATTGTAAAATGAAAAATGATTCACTCGTTAGTTAGGTTTTCAATATATATATATATATACAAAGAAGAGTTCAATATACAAAAGTTAATAGCTAAGCATGTATTTTGCACCAAGTGCTAAGACTGTATCGTGTAAATCGCATGCCGATAATCTTTACTTCAAGATAGAAAAGAAAAAAGAAATATTAATTCAAAGTATTCCTCGCCTTATTATTATTATTTTGCGTTAAGAATATGATTTTAATTTTTCTTACTTTGTATACGGCTCGTAAAGCTCGCGTACATATATAATAGATCATTACATACATGCATACTTAAATATAAGTACGAAATTGTAAATAAATATATCGATAAAAGTATATTTTACCATCGTGTAATAGTTCGTACTTACATTTCTTTTCTTTTTCATCGGGGGATTCGGTGGAAGATAGAAGAAGAAAAAGCAAGAAATATGTATCAACGTCTCGTCCTTACGCAAAAGAAAGAAAAACACTTATTAAGAATTTGTTTGTTCGACACATTGTTTTAAGGATAATTTCAATTTAATTTAGATAAGTTCAACACGTACATTCCTAATTAATAATGTTTATCCGAAAATAGAGTAAACGTTCTATTTTTGCACGTAAGGTCAAAGGGATGAAGGTACTACGCTATTAAAAATTGAATAAATATGCGTTTAGCGATATTATAAGTAAAAAATAAAACAATAAGAAAAAATAGGAAACAAAAAAAACAGAATAAAAACTTGAACGTGAATATCTTGCGAATGTTATTCCCATTTCTCGAACACCCTGCCTATACTGGACCTTATCGAGAAAGAATTTTATGATGTTCTTAACATTCACGTTTCTATGTAAACCTGTAACAGTATAATGTATATTATATTGTTAACTTTAACAGTATATTACGAGACTGAATATTAAAACGAAAGGAATATCTTCAATTGCATTAATTTAAATACGGAAATTTAGAAATATTATATGCAAGAACAAATTTTTGACCGGTAATTCTGGTAATTTTTTTCACAGCTCGTTAAAACAATAACTAAGGTTGATATTTTTTATCCGCGTAAAGAAAAAAAATATGATTACTCAGATATTTGATTCCACCGTTTGCCAACAATATATGTTACACTATTTGAATTATATTATAGAATATTTCGAGAAAGTATCACTCGTATATACACGCTTTGAAATTCACTGATTATAACTTATTTTAATCGTATCGATCTTGAAAATACTAATTAAAATTATAAGTAATCTCGGAAAGAAAAAACGATGTTGACGCGTCGAAGACTTTTGATAAACTAAACAATGAGAGCCGTTTTGATCATTATTGTTTACGTTCGAAGACTTACAATGTTATCATTGAAACTTGTGTTTATAACTATATATACATTTAGATCAAATTTAATGTTATTTCAAATTTGTCACTTGAAATGGCACGAATTAAAAATCAAAATATACGAAAAATAAAATAATGGTTTCAATATACGCGTGGGGGGGTGGGTTTGAAAAATTTTTCGCCTAACATAGAAACAATTTTTTTTTCAATTAAACTCACTTTTATTTTTCGACATAGAGATTCAAAATTTTAAGAAGAAAGTAGAAACTCAAAAATTTTTAATATTTTAAATTTGTATGTAGGGGAAATATACATCGAAAAAATTTTATACTCTAAATGATCGCTTGCTAATGTATAAAACTTTCATTAGAATTACCTCGATAACCCTCTGAATAGCTCATTATTATTGATTTGAATTAATTGAAGAATTAGTTAATTAGTTAAATTAATTTCACAAAAAAGTTATTCAATTTGTAAATTACATTTTATAAATCTAATTTTTTCGAAAGCATATATAAATCGTACTTACTTTGACGAATTTGTCCACATTTTCGAAAATAAAAATCCAGAAAGTTATCAATGTTTGAAGTGATCAGATATTAAAATGAAATGTTATTTCTTCTTCTCATAGAACTCTACGTGTTAATTAAATAAAAATCACTTTTTACTGAATTAAAAATTCAATTCTTTAAGAAAGCACCTTTTCCGTCTCTACCTTAGAATGCTTCAAATATCACTGTACCCAAATTAACGGTGCAAAACTCAAATTTCAAAAATTTAAGAATTAGTGCTGTGCAGCGCATAAAACGAATTCACTTGTTGAGTATCATTATGCGCATCTTGCTTTAAATTATATCACCTTATTCAATGATATTAATTTTCATTGTAATTATTTATTATTTATTCAAAAATCTATATCTGTAAGTTTTTTAATTTTCAAAAATTACATATTGAATGTAGATGTTATAAGTGAAAATATTTCATATTTATTACTAGCATAAGTTGATTAGTCGCATCTAGTTTCTCAAAGCACGACTAGAATGCGCATTCTTCCAAAAAATTAACCAATCAGAAAACATTATTTACTGAGAATAAAATGTGCTGCGATACTAGCGCGAGCTTTCAGTAACGTGGTTAAATTCGACACTCTTTTAGTAAATTCATATTATATTCCCATCAAATTTGTGTTAATGTTTTGTTTTTTCTGATATATCAGTTTAAATGTGTATATCTAACAAAGTTGAAGGCAGAGAGCCGTTAAGTTATCCTCAGCATAAGTTTTATTATATTTGGATTCAAAATGGGAGATATAGAAAATCTCGTTGATCTATTACCGATTTATTATGCTAGATTATTTCCTTTCAATGATTTTTATGACTGGCTTGGCTATGGAAGTTGTAAGTTTCTTATCTAACATAATTTCTTTTTTTTTTTTTTGTAAAGAAAAACTATCTAACTAATATTACTTTTATTTTGTTAATATTTTAATTTCAGTAAGTAACTTTACTAGAAGAGAATTCTCTTTAACTCTTCAGGATGATATTTATCTTCGATTTCAATCATTTAAAACTCCCAGAGAATTAGAAGCAGAAATCAAGAGACTTATTCCATTTAAAATTGATATTGGTGCTGTGTACAATGTTCCGTAATAATGATTTTTGTTTTATTATTTAATTAAATAATATATTTTATTTATTATTGCTATAACATTGTTTAATTATTAGACCGAAGGAACAAAAGAAACGACCAAAATTTTTTCCTGTGGAAAGAGAACTTGTTTTTGATATCGATATGACAGATTATGATGAAGTAAGAACATGTTGCGAAGGCACAGATATTTGTAACAAGTGTTGGAAGTTTATGGTACTTGCATGTAAAATATTGGATACAGCATTGAGAGGTATTTACACATACTTTCCATTGTTATATCTATACGTAAATGTTTTTGTTTCTGTTAAAAATGATCTGTTAATGTTACAATAAATACTTGTCGGTTTAGCTGATTTTGGATTCAACCATATTCTCTGGGTATTTTCTGGTAGAAGAGGTATACATTGCTGGGTTTGTGATGCAGATGCACGCTTTTTAGGAGATATTCAACGCTCTAGCGTTGCAGAATATTTACAAGTTATTGGAGGTGGAGAATATATGAAAAAGAAAGTCAGTTTACCCCATGATAATATACATGCATCTATTAGGTAAAACATTGTGTATTTTTAGAACAATAAAAAATATATTCTTCTAGGTTTACATAATATATGATTTTTTATATATGTACACAGACGTGCACTAAATATAATTGAAGCAGAATTTATTCCTATGTGCATCGAAGAGCAAGATATATTAGGAACCAATGAAAGAATTGAAAAGTTTTTAGCAATACTACCGGAAGAAGAAGACCAGGTAGAACTAAAGAATTTATTTGACCAATGTTCGTCCAGTGCAGCACGATGGAAGGCGTTTTGTGAATTTGTCAAAAACAAAAGAACTAAGGTACAAATAAATGTGAACTTAAAAGAAATTAATGTTTTAAATTTAATTTTAATTACAATCAATAATTCAGAGAGGTACAAAATGGTATTTATACCGTCATCTTAAAGAAGAAGTAATGTTGCAATATGCCTATCCACGGTTAGATATAAATGTCACAAAAGGAATGAATCATCTTTTAAAATCACCTTTTTGCATACATCCAAAAACGGGCAAGGTTTGTGTACCATTTACAGTAAAGACCGTAGAGAAATTTCAACCAGATAATGTTCCAACAATAATGACATTAATAAACGAAATTAATGAGTTCGATGCAAAAGAGAAGACAGAAGAAATTAATAATTTAGATACAACAAAGATAAAAGATTACAAAAAAACCAGTTTAAAAAAATCACTTCATATATTTCACGAATTTTTATGGGGACTTAAGGAAGCACGAAAAGACTTAAAGGCTAAGGGGTATGGTAAGTCGTTTATTAAACCTCAACTAATTATGATTATTGACTCTTTAGTTTGAAATAATGAAATATAAATTTATCATTATTTCAGGTGAAAGATTGCAATTTTAAAAATATCACAATTATTTCAGTATTATGTACGTAATGGTTATATGTGTACCAATGCAAACTGTTATTTTTATATTTTTCTCAATAATTGAATTAATGTTTAGAAACATTTATATGTAAAAATATTAAGAATTCAGTTTAATAAAACCAATATTGTAATTGTAAAATTTATTAAACGTATTTGTATTACAAGCTCCATGTTAGAATCTTTGTTAGGAAAAATTTTTATTTAACAAGTAAATATATTTGGCGTATAGGAGTCACTCGAGACTCTGTGGTGTATTGACGAAGAGTAAAAAGAATTTGCTGGTAAAGGAAATCTTTCGATGGATTTATTACTCGAGGTGTCTACCTTCAGATAGAATACTCAATAGCGTAATTTACTTTGCAAACTATTATTACTAACATGTGAAGTTTTGTATTAAAAATAATCGATACCATAAATCGTATCTTAAACATTGGCATTACTTATAATCATTAGTTTGATATATTGTCGTGAATAATAAAAGTAAAATTGAATATATATAATGCAAGTAAAAACAATCTCTTTAACTTCAAATCTAAATTTTGAGTTGACTACGCCAATGTAAGATCATGAGCCCGGCCGGCGAGCTTAGAGATCCTTTAAAAGGAGATAGATTGGCTAAGATTAAATAGCGGTAATGAAGTACATCACCATCGTGTTTTAATCCTTTCTAACCATATTTAACTATTTATTCATTCCAATTGCCACCAAGTTTCCCTTATCTTGCCATCCTGTTCATCGATAATTGTTTTTCGTTTAATATGCTATTTATTTCTTAAGAAATAAAATAAGTAACTACCAAGGAAGAAAGTTTCGAGGTCAGTAGACCAAAACATTATATTATTGATATTTAATGATATTTATATGTGATATCATGATATTTTTAACTTGTATTATCGATGGAAGCTCACGGTAAGGTTTTGTAAATTAAATGAAACTTCTAATTATCGCGACAGGATTAATCATATCCGGTGTATTTAATGATGGACAGTCTCGTCGTCTTGTTTTTAAAATTTATCACCGACCGAAAGAAAAAGAGATAATAAAATATAATAAATTCAAATCACTGTTAATTTATTTTAGTATCTTTCTATTTAATTAATTTAATGAGACTATCTTTAGTAAACAATTTGTTTGTCTGGAGGGTCAAATTATTTTAATTAGTAAATAATTTTTAATAAAGAAGGAACACGTGACACTAAATTTCAAAATTTGATCGAAATAAATTCAATACTTCACGTTTGAATAGAATTCATTTCCTTTACTTTTTTGTTTTTTTTTTTTTCTTTTTCTCTCTGTCATTTCACGTGGCGAATCTTAAAGCACAGTTATATGGATCTGCATATTTTTATTCCGTTCTTTTCTGCTAATGTTCTTATAAGACGAACAAAATCACTTTTTGTTCATTTTCGTCCAAATCGACCTCTTCTCGTAGCAAGGAAGTTTATTACAATATGTATCCTCTCGGCTTCTTCTCAATTTTTTTTTTTCTTTTAAATCATAACGTTGTAAAACATCAACTTATAATTCGTGCCGCTTAAAAAAATCTCGAAACTCGATTACTATTTATTTTGAAAATATTAACGGGTAACCAAAATTATAATGAAGTATTCCGTTTTAATAAGATTAACTATATACTTTATAAAAATATATCCTTATACTTTTATAGATAATATTACACGGTACGAATAATTACAAGATAGAAATACTTTAAAAGCTTAACTTTTGTTATTTATATAAATTTAAATAGATAATAAAATTAATTATCATGTAAGGAAATTAATAAATTCTTAAATTTTTGTTTAAATCTCTTTTATAATTTACGAAGAAGAAAGAATTTTAAAATAAAGGAATTTAAATCGTATAAGTTTTTTAGCAAACCAAAAACTAATGTAATTCATCAGGCGATTATAATGCGATACGTATTTAACGAAGCAATTCGATTTCTCGTTTCCCTTTTTCGATTTATGATTAAAACTCTTTTTTTTCCATCGCATCACCTTATTCCAATCTCATTCGAGTTTCGATTACCGTTTTGTCTGTTTTTTTATCGACACGACGATGAAGTTTCACTCGTGTTAATGATGTTAGATAGTTAAAACTCAAACTTCAAAATTAAGCCCCAAAATCCGACAAATCAAAAAAAATGTAATAAAATCCATTAATTATTTAGAACAATGATATCATCAAATACGCGATTTGCAAGAACTTACGATGCACAATAAAAAAAGCCTCGTTTTTGCTCGTTAACATTTTTTCTGAGAGATCTTTCATTATTGTTTGCGGCTTGCAGACTTTCTTCAACTACATTTCGTGGCCCATGCTCAGATATTAATGAATATTCTCTTTAAAAATTTCTGTTATTTTAATCATGCTATCTATCACTTTCTACGTGAGTAACGTAATGGATTAAAGAGAGAATTTTAATAAAAAAAATTAATAGAATATCTTATTGTTAGTTATAAAATTAAAATTTTCTTTGTCTATATTTTATTTCAACTATGTTACGTTTTTACATACAACGAAATTTATGTCAGTATAATGAATATTTAAAAAAAAACAAGTAACGACAGCTTCTATTTTCATATTACTACTCTATGAATACTTTTAATTATCAGTAGATTGATTGGTTAATATGGTTTTTTAAAACGTATATAATACTTTCATTCATGGAATAAATTATTTCGGTTGGAAGCAAAAGCAGAACGATCATCGATCTTGTATTACCAATTATTCGGTCGTCATAACGGTCGGCTTTTGTTCGACATTCGACATTTGTGGACAAGCGAAGAATTTGGCGAAGAGTAAAATTCGGCACATTATCTCGAAGAAAGCGGTTACCTGTTTTTTGTCGACTCGTATCCAATACATTCGTTATTTAGTGGGTGGATCACTATAGAAAGGAAGCCGAACGATTTTATACATGTGTAACTCTTTTTGCGAGTATGCCACGCGAGAGAAGTCTTGTCGGCACGTTCCAACTTCGCTCTGGATTCTTCAATCACGAAAAAAAACAAAAAAGAAATTGCGGTTGCATGTTGATAATAATAATAATAATTATATACGTCTGACATTTCACGACGTTCATTATTCGATCGATTGCTAATGACTCTTTTTTCCTAAAATACGAATAATAATAAACATTTTCTTTAGACTCTAAATTACAATAAATAACAATTTGAACTTTTATAAATAATCTCCTACTTAATACTTTTTATATTTCACAGATACGAAAAGTGTCGACTTTGAAATCTAAATTGAGAACTATAATAATTGATACTTTTAATTTTTTCATATGGTATACTAAACATCATTGAATTAGAATCTTGAGAATACCATACACTGTTCGTCTGGAGTACCCTTGTACGTCTTTTCAAAGATCAAGATAATCTTAGCTCGATTTAACAAAGTTACTTCTTGGAAAGAGCGTGCAATATGGTAGCATGTAAATGTACAATTTCTTAGCTTCCCAACAAGTTATCACGATAACGATCTTAGAAGTAACTAATTTATCGTGGCAAAGAAAAAAAAGAAGATAAACGAAATCGGAAATTCTTGTTATCCTTGATGATAATAGTCCCATTAGTTTCACATTTTGTGAGTTACAAATGCATATGATTTTATGCTAGAATATTTAGCACGAGAGATCGTATCGATTTCTGAGATAAGATCGGTATTCGCGCGGTTCATTGATATTATTTATTTGATATTTAATAATTCATTAGAAAAAGCACAATGTTCATGTGATAATCCGCGAGAAAGACGTATCTCTTTCTTAATGAGTGCTTAATTGTCCGATAATGGGACAATGAGAAAAATGTAGGAAGAAATAAATTAAAATAACAATAACGATGATAACGAGCGAGAATGATCAATCTTACAATTAAACATTAAACCCGATTGCTTATAGCGCTAGGTTGTAACTTTCCGGAGGCGCCATGGTAAAATTCACGTAAAGAAATTAATTCATCGTTGCTAAAGCACTCTGAGAACTTGTTCGCCAATGTGATAACGAGATGAAAATATTTCCTGGGAAACGATGAAAACTTGAACATTTTTTTCTTCGAAATTATCTCGATAACGATATTCTTAAAAGTTAATGAGAGTCTTGCGAATCGACCATTTGCATAATTAATTTGAAATGATTCACCTAAAATCACGATTGCAGCTAACTATATGTTTAATTTCTTTTTTCTTTCCTTCTTTCTTTTCTTTTCTTTTTTTTTAAATTAACAAATCTGAATGTCCTCCAATAAAAAGAACGAAAATTCTACGTAATTGAATCATTGATGAATTCGGGGTAAATTAATCTTATTTGGTATGAATGAATTAAAATCTGACTCGTGCAAGATAATCATGCAAACAAACGAGTAAAAAAGCAGTGCGATTTCTGTAACTGAGCCGCACAAGACGTTTAAGATTTAATTATCGTGGTAATAGCGAAAGAAGAAAGGACCACGAAGAAACTTTTCAGGATTTCGCATCGTGGAAACCCTTTATTAGGTAATCGAGTAATCCGTAGGTAATGACACATCCTCAGACCGGTCTCCCGGTCTGTATTACAACTTCAAGGCTGCCAATTCAAGAAAGGATGCCATTAATTTTCCACGGTGCACCTGGATTCTAATGGATCAACGATTGAATCACTCTTGCTTAGTCATCGCGTTAGCTTGCAATGAAATCCCTTTCTCTGTTAGCGTGATTAGAATCCGCAAATAATCCGCGAGATCGATGTCCGACATACTTATTGAAATTCCAATAAATTGGACGAATTAACATCAAGAACAAATCACTTTCATTAAGATTCTATAATTAATAATATTTAAAATGTAACATTTTATTTATCATTGATGATACGAAAGAAAAAAATTGATATAAAAAATCAAACAATAAGCTGAACACGAATCCTTTTTAAGTCAATTGGATATCATACTTTTCCGTTTCCTATTGTCTTCTATTAGTTTTTGTTTGTTCTTTTCAAAACGTAAACTCTCTCATTTTGTAGAAATTCTTGCTAGAGCATAATCGTAGAAGATCAAACGTTTAATATTTCGGTCAGTTATTCGAAAGAAAATTGAATTCTCTATCGATCGATTTCAAAGCAATGTTTGCATGTATTTTACACGCCGGGTATCATTATTT